TTAGTTTTAAGGCAGAAGATCGTGCAGAGAACATCCGCCGAGTTGGTAAGCACGTACGTAATACTTTGAATTGTCAGCAACATTTTTTGAATTATCTCTAGAATGATCTGGTTTAGAATTTAACTATTTTCATAACTTCCCTTTGGATTCAGTGTGATATCATCTCTTGTATACTCTTTTATGCCTAGGTGAGGTAGCTAAGTTGTTTGCTGATGCTGGGGTAATTTGCATTGCATGCCTGATCTCTCCCTACAGAACGGATAGGGATTCCTGTCGTGCTATGTTACCAACTGGAGATTTTATTGAGGTTGATGCTTATCACTACCTTTGACTCTTTAGTCCTCTTTCTTTTCCTTACAATGAATTGTAAGATTCAATTCAGTTGCTCGTCACGGTAATAAAATTTCTTTGACAACCATTATGGACACAGGTGTTCATGGATGTTCCACTCCAAGTTTGTGAAGCCAGAGACCCAAAGGGATTATATAAGCTTGCTCGTGCTGGGAAAATCAAGGGTAATATGTGGTAACACATGTGGTAATTTCTCACTTTAAAAGAAAGCAGTTGCATGGATGTAGTTGTTGACTTCGTGTGTATTGTGACTTTTGTGGAAGTCCGGCCGCTGTCCCCTTTATGGCTTGTTTATGTACGTGCGCGTCTATCCTTAGTTGTAGGCGCTAACGAACGCACTTAGGATTTAATCCATAGAAAGAACCCAAGAGAATATAAACTAAGAGCAGAACAGACTGCAAATCCACGCGAGAGAGCCTAAGAAAGAGTTGAAAAGAGGCAGCCCGAGTGAAGACCTTTCGTAGGAACTTTTTGAAACCTTCCCTAGCCTTACTGCTTCTAAGGTCCATTCCACGAGTGGCAGCATAGAATGAGTATTCAGAGTGAACGCAAAACAATTAGAATAAATCTGCTAATTATTTCTTTGACCAATTGAAGACGATAGTTCCCGTTTTGCAGGCTTTACTGGTATTGATGACCCATATGAGCCACCAACAGACTGCGAGGTAATGTTTTACCATGAAACCGAACAGAAACATTAAGCATTTGCTCATTCAATATGCATTTGTAGGGTTCTTTGAGTGTTCGATTCCCTGATTCGTGGCTAAATAGTGAAGCAAATAGGATATACAAAAATAATATATTAACCACCATTGACCTCACTATAAGGGAAATGCTCATTTTGGGATCTGGGATCTTAAAGCCTATAGTAGTAGTAGTACATCTTTCAACTAGGTCATCTTAATGAAGCGAGTTAAATCCATCAGCTCTCTATTTCTACATTGTCTAAACTTCGAAGTAGCATAATAGTCGTTTTGCCTTTTGATCGTCGCCAACTGTGCAAATTCTCAGTTTGAACCCTAGCTAACTAGGCAGTGTTTCTTTTCTGATTCACGTGTTGGTCTTGTCAGATAGCACTGAAATGCGAGGTGGGTGACTGTGCTTCCCCACAGCAGATGGCGGATACAGTCGTTAATTTCTTGGAGGCAAAGGGATACCTCCAACCATGAGAAAAGTTCATTATACAAGAACAAAACTTTACCAAGCACGAAAACAAGCTTGGAATATGGACAGCCATTTATGTTGGTTTACCTCATCCATTATGTTCTCCTACAGGACATTAGTTTCTGCTGTGTTCTGTTATTTTTTCCTCCCCTGTTTTGTGGTCTTCTTTTGTTTTCTTTCTGGTATCGTCCTATTCGATTTATTTGTATTACAAGTTATCACTGTTAAGTTGTGAAGAAAGTCTGTAGTAGCAGTAGTAGTAACTAGTTAGAGAGAGGGATTGGTGCAAAAGCTGGCATTTCTGGTCCAGAGGTAATCAGTCGCGGAGCAACAAGAGGATGAGGAACCACCTCAAATATGAAATACACAAAAAAAAGATAGAATATTGTGAAATTAGTATTGGGTTGTTCCGGAAAAGTCAGTGATAGAGTATTTTAGTGATAGAGTATTTTGTGCAGAAATGATAGTTTAATCATGGTTCAATTCTTTCATATCACTGATCTAACCTATCAGTTTGGGCTCCAATAGACGATTCTTTTGGTGGAATAGTCGGTACAATTTTAATGGTTTGTTGAAAAGGAGAGTCGAATAGATGACCTTCAACTAGGGATGGCAACAAAACCCGAACCCACGGGTACCCACTCGACCCAACCCGGTCAACGCAGGTAAAATCTGTGTTGACGGGTTTTGGGCCGGATTTGGGTTTAAACCCGTTCACTATTCATCGTGTTGGGTTGGGTTTGGGTTTAGGTAAACCCGACCCATGGGTACCCGCCCACACCCATATAATTAATTTTCTCGGTATATTTAATATTTTAAATAACTAATCTTATTTATATTTGTGGAGACATGTCTAATTTTTTCTTTCTAATTGTGTAGAATGAAGTTGGTGTTATCGAGTGGAGAGTGAAGAAACTTAATTGAAAGGAAGAAGCCTTCAATTAACCATGTTATTTATCGATAATTTATTATTTACTTCAATTTTCTTGAGTTTTCTAGATTGGTGTTGAACAATTTGTATAGTTAATTTGTGATTTGCTTGAATTTTCTAGAATGGTGTTTTAAATATGGATAATTTGTATTGAGAGATTGATATTTGACTTTAATTTTGATTGGAACTTATTATTTTAAATTTTTTACGACAAAAACCCGTGGGTACCCATGAACCCGCGGATACCCAGCGGGTTGGGTTGGGTTTGAGGTTTTCAAACCCAGTGGATTTTACCCCAAGTTTTTTTCACGGATAAACCCATGGATTTGAATTTGGGTTAGGAAAAACCCGACCCATTGCCATCCCTACCTTCAACTGGCATATTCACTAATAACATATCCAGTATTATATTCGGTAACATAATTTTATGATGGATACATTGAATTGACATCGTTTTGTAGTTTCAGTGATAATTGTATTTTAAATATTATATTATATAATATTATATAAAGCTAAAGATAAAGTTAATGTTGCCTAACCCCTTTGTAATCATGTATTGTAATTCTATGTTTATCTCCATCCGGCTAACATGTGCCCAGCTTCATTTGTTCGTTCTTTTTGTTTTATGCTTACGTTTTCCCTTTTTGGCATTTTGCAACTTTTGCTTAATTCATAGTTGTAATTTTTTGGTAAAAGGGATTTGACTTAGTACACATTCTTTAAAGTGTTTCCCAACTTGAGAGTTCCAAACTTCTAATGATGCTATATCATTATTTTTATTAGGATAACAAAAATATCTATAACTGTAGATACCCATTTGAATCCGATCTAATCGGGTAGGGTAAAACTCGAATATGAAGGATTTTAAGTGGGTATGGGTATTATCGAATCCGAATATTGTGGGTAATGGATGTGCATGGTTTTCTCCCTCTCCAACCCACAACCGCCCGATAATACATATTATGCATATATGTTTTGTTTAGAAAAAGCCATTATTTGTCGAAATTTTTTATATTTATTAAATATATATAATATCTTTTATGAATTGTGTTGTTTAATATATATTCTTTATATTTTATGATTTATTGTCGTACTTTTCACCCTGCTTCACCTTAATTGTTATTTGAACAAGTAAAAGCTATGTCTTGGTCCGAGTGGGGAAACGATAAATTGGAGTTACCTAGGGGGTCTAGTCTAAATTTCCGTCAGGATGGGTCACTGCCCCTGTAGAGTAGTTCTACCCGATTCATGTGTGGGTATGAGTAAATCTCGAACTATTTTTAATAGGGTAATGAATATGCACTATCCGCCCCCGACTCAATCTGACATCCCTAATTTTATTAAATATTTTTTCATTTTGATCATTTGATAGAAATAGGGATGACAAGTAATGATTTTAGACATATAACAAACAATCATTTTGGTAAATAAGTCATAGAAGCACCATAACAATTTTGGGTTTTACTCATTAAAACCAAATGACTAACCAACAAAGGCAAATAAAAAAACCTCGGGTTATTGCAGAGCTCGGCCGCAACCTATCTAGTTAATATATATAAAGTTGAAGTTAGGTTACTGTTGCCTAATATTTTACATTTTGATAACTCAAATTTAATTAAATCACAATTTAGTTATTATAATGTAAATTTTATATTTTGATACCCCAAATTTAATTTTAATATAAAATTATTGAACAATTATGTTTTGGTATCTAAATTTTATGAGATTTTCGTACCTACAATTTTTTAAATTTACATATTGGTCCTATGTTTAGATTTCACTTGAATCCATGAATCCAATCCACCAATCCTTTTGAACCGATCCATGAATTCAATCCACCGTAACATAAAAAGTATAAATTTAGTTTGTATAATGTGTTGTATCACTCAATTGTAGGAGTAGATTCGACCATTTTATATTTGCTCATTTGCGTGAAACATTAAATAAATGCTAAAAGAGATACGACTCTAAAATATTGCAAGAGCGAATTTGTAAACTCATTTAGTACATTTACAGGGTGCTAAACCAACTTCTACTAACTACGTGTAACAAAATATGCGACAAATACATAAGCAAGTGTCAATAAATTGCTACGGTAAAAAAAGGTTGACTGCTTTATTGACGGCCAATTAAAAGAATTGGTAGGCCTGTCGGTTCGGGTCGGGTCGGGTAACCCGAAACCGAAAAGTGCTGACCCAAAAGCTGTTTTGCCTGAAAGAACGCAGAGAGAGACCCCTTTCTGACCCTATCTCTCTCTCTGTTGCTCTGTTATTCATGAAAACAAAAGGACCTATTCCAAGCATACATGGAGAACACAAGTTGACCCATCATTCACATTCAATCCTCTCCCTCACAGCAGCTAGCCTGTCCAAATTGCAACATGGTTATGATGATTTAGCCTGAAAGAAAAGAATGCTTACTGGGATGCCATATTCACGATTGAAGATACACCTGTGGGAAGTAGTTTGGGAAGATGAGAATGGAGCCTAGATAGGTGGTTGCCTTACTAGGCAAATTGACCAACTTGAAGACTCGAACCAGATTTGGAACTAAATCATCGAACCAACACCAAAACGCTGATTTCGAATCTAGGTTGATGCATTGCTGGGAGGCGGAGGAAAGGCAAAGTCGGAGATCCCCTCGAGGAGTTGAACTGGTAGAAGCTGAGAAGGGAGGCTCTAGTTTCGGTGTTTCTCAATCTCCGAAGCGGCAAATCCTCGAGCAAGGAGGCTGCTAGCGGCGAGGGCGTTGAGAGTTTCCTGATCCGGGAAGCGGCGACGCCTCTACCTCGACCTCGAGCAGTCGTCAGTCGAGAAAGGATTTCTAAACCTCTCCACTCTAGTCTCCTCTGTCGACTGTCGCACCTCGCAAGGAGATCGAACCCTAGAGTTCCATTGTCCCAAAGGTCACCGTAAAAGTCACAAGTCCCCATTCTCCATTCTCCAACAACAACTTTCGGGTTTTTCGGATTTGTATCGGTTTTCGGGTTACATCAACCGAAACCGCTTTGTATCACACTTCGGGTTGAAACCAAAAACCTGAAGCCCGAAAATAATATTGTCGGTTCGGGTTCGGTTTGACCGAAAATCCGAAACCGAAATCCCACCCCTAAGAATTGGTCAAAATCTTTCTATCATCTACTTCCTTTTCGTTTCATTTTTCACTCGCCTTCCATAACTCTTTCTTTATTTCTTTCTTTGCCTTCTTCGTCTAACCCTAATTAGTATACTATTTTTATGTATTCTAATCACAAGTATGAACGGGTTCATACACGACTCACCAACATTCTAGAGAACTAATAATTGAATTATGAACCACTAACTTTTTTCAGCTCAATGTCGAGCCCAATTAAAAATAAATATATAAGGTATTACATATTAGAAAGTCTTCATTTTCCACTATGGGATTTGATATACATAGATATATAGCTAAACATTCCATGTATGTTTGTTGAAAATTCTAGCCCGGGTGAAAAAGAAAAACTCTAGAGAGAAGTAAAAGGAATACAAACTTTCAAACCCATAAATACATCATCCATACCCTACCCATAATCAATGGGTCTACTTGGGTTTAGGAAAATATCACTTACTAGCCAAAAATTAAAAAAAATATATAAATTGATATTGACAACAATATATATCTTCTCACTTCTCAGTCAATATTATATTGTCAAGTCAATATTACTAACAAAACTGCTAACGGAAAATTAATTTTAGATTAATAATACTAACAAAACACCATAACAAGCCACATAATACATGCCTATAGATATCTCCATCCCGCAACAAGGTATATGTAATTTTATCAAACTTTAAGGCTATTCTTCCAATAGGTATATGTGGCAATACATTACATTATGTCTCATTTCTTTCTTTTACTTTTTAATTTTTTTTTTAGTAAGAACTTTTTACATCTTTTAATCACATATATGAGAACCTTTTAGTAATTCTTCTTTTTATTTCTTTTATGTTATCATTTTTTTTTTGCTATCATGAAATCTACATTTAGTTCCTACTAGTATAGGGCCGGCCCGTTGGCCGGCTAGAGACCATTAATCCAGCCATAATCCAATGGAAGGCCCAGTCGGAGCTGTATTTCATTTATCAAATGGATTATGGGCCCAAAATTTCCCCCTTTGCTTTTATATAATGGGTAAATTTATTAATCAAATAAAAAGTTCCAAAACCAGACAGAAACTGTTCGACTTCCTTCTTCCCCTTCCATTTCTCTGTTCCAGCTCCGACGAAGAAAGCAAAAGGTACCAAAATCTTTGCATGGCCGTTATTCTTTCTCGTCCTGTCTGCGGGACTGAATGTATACTTAGTTCCAGCAATTAATTTTCAAACACTATCTCTTCACATCAGTTCTTGCATTCTTTCTACAGTAGCGAGGTTTTTGGTGTGCTCTGATAATCCAGGCGAAGATGCCCAAAGCATTTCCAGATTTTGTTAAGGTATATGCATCTTCACCGGACTACGAATCCTATGATTGAAGTTTGTTTTCCCCGATCTGCTGACATCTTATGTTTCAGGAACTTTTCAGATCGAGACTCCAAGCAAAACCTTGCGAGTTTCACAGGTACGTTTGGTTCAATGATTTCTCATAAAATGTGGTTGGATCTACTAAAATGAGGAACATGATTAGGGATGATTTATCGATTGTAAGACAGTATTAATCAATAGTTGAGAACGTTTAGTTCAATCTGATTTTCGTGGATCTTAATACAAACTGTGTGTTGCATACAACCAAAACATTGTATATTGGTTCTCTAATACGTAGTGGAGTTCAGTCATGTGTATAAGAGTTTTCATTAAAGTTTGAAAAAACAGTATATAGTGTTGTAGTTACGAATCGAATATCCAGGCAAGGATAAAAGATGAATAAGTCAAAAGAAGTTAAATCCATGTTCAATTGAAAACTTAATCGTAGGATTGAAAGAGTTATGTCTTGTTTTGATCTTGTTTGGTTATCTTTCTTTGACCATTATTAGTTGATTAGTGTAGAACTCGAATCTCTTTTACTATACTTGATCAGAATCTATTTGATATTGGTTAAGTAAAATAGTAATTGGTTATTAATTAAACATCGCAAGTGTGATATGCATTGTGGTCCCAAATAACAACTAACAATGTTTGTTTTGATGATCCTAAAATGGCAGCTACTACAAAAAATAGAGATTGAGTAGACGGAAATAAGGTTGACTTATATTTGAAAATGGATATCATACCTGAATGGAACCCGTGAGTAATTGTTTCTTAAAAGTTCGTAATAAACATATTGTTGTGTTGTCACCACCAGTCAAACAATTGCTAATATTGATTATGATATAAATGATAGGTTTTTTACCATGGGGGACGATTTTGTTACGAATCTCAATTATCAAACTGCCGTAGCAATTTCTCAGCACGTGGAAACTATAGATCTTATCCCAATGCAGTTGGATGGTGCTCATCAGGTGACTAAGATAACTTGTTTGTTATCTATCGTTTCCTATTTCTTATGTCAATGATTTGAATATGATTTGGTATTATTTTGAACTTCTTATGTTTTGGATTATATTAGGGCAATTCGTACATTTTCTCGGGCGTTGTAACAGAGTTGAGGAGATCTTGGTGTGAGGCATCAAGGGTATATTTGATTCACTTGACCATTGAGGATGACATTACTGATGTTGAGGTCGTGTTCCCATCAGCTTACTTACGAAGAATCATGTCGTCGGTTGTTAGTCCTTCTGAGATTCAGAATGCGGACTATGTCACACTTCTGAACATGATTGGTGAGAATGGATATGAGGTCTTGGTCACATTCGGTCCTTGGAACGACGTGGGGAATTATTTTGATCTCTTCTTGGTCAAGTTGTTCCCACGTGTAGATAACTAAGTAGTACTGGGTTTCATTAATATTATTGAATTAATGTTAGTAATGGTCCACCTCTCTGTAATCTCTAATGTTCTGTAAGCGTAATGGATAATGGATATATAACGCTAATATCTTTTGTAAGGTTATTATCCTTTTGAGGTGGAACTTGATGTAAAATATGTATTTAATTTAGTTATGGTACGTTTAACAAATGAGTCTTGGTAGATGTGAATTGATTGGTTTTGACACCAAAAAAAATAAATTCATTACATGTCCCATTGACTTAACAATGTGAGAATTATACAACAGTGTATCTATTAATTCATTTTAGTCCCATATGCCTTCTATTAATTATATGAAATAGTCTAGTTAGACTGCCAACTCACTAACCAAATTAACAAAAATCAAAACACAGAAATATAGAGAGAGAAACCGAGAGAGAGGAGGAGCGAAAAAGGAAGGAAGGTGGTCCTGGAAAATTTCTGTAATGGTAAAGGAGTGAAACTGGCAGATAAATGTTGCTGCGAAATTAATTATAGACCAGGTTCCTTTTCTGATTTTTCAATCTAGTATTGTATACAAAGCAGTGATTTAATTGTATTGAATAATTACCACGTTTGAATTACATAACAGTGCTACAATTAATGCGATATAGTTCCAAATCTCTTCCATTAATTATATGAGATATGTGTTGAGAAAGCTAACTCGCAAACCAATTTAACACAAATAAAAAACAGACATGGGTTATTCACAAAGCCAACAAATGGTAGTTCATAAGTGAACAGAATACGAATTAACAATTAAGCAAGTTCAAATAAATACAACTTAGAAACATAGTCTGAAAAATGCATTTTGTGTATTAGAACGTCTAGCAAATGATATATGAGGAACAAAACTACACAAATGAACCTAACGACCACTAAAAGACACTTATTGTTTAGTACGGTAATAGTGCACGAAGAAGCACATGAGATTTGCTTCCCATATAGCATGCATGGTGAAGTGTAAGTAAAAAACTAAAGGGTCTCCCTCTAATGGATTTCAAAGCTTCCGCGAAATGGTTGTCCCAATCGTAATCGTCAATGGTTGGCATGACGGAATGGGTAATGGCTCTAAAATTGATTGATATAAATGAGACATCACACTCTGCATAGTAATCACGAATTCTAAGCTGGATAATAAATTGTCTTCTTGGGGGTGACCATACCACACATAAATTTGAGATAAATCCCTTAAGGATGTAATCATGACCCTGCAACCAAAATAAAATGTCAAACGTTTTGGTGGCAATAGTACGTAATTGAAGAATATGTAGGGTACGAAAGTTGGAGAGAATACATTTATATGCTGCCATGTTAATAGCTAGATAAAAAAATAGTCATGAGTGTAAACAAAGTTACATGTTCAATGTAAAAAGACATGGAGAATCAGATAGATTGACGTCGGAGAAATTATAAAAGAGTACCATTGTCATAGGCGATTGCTGAAGGGCAAGGAATTCTTCAATCGAGCAAGCTTGTGCAATGTGTTTTGCATTTTCATATGTCCAATTCATTCCATTTGACCTGTATAGGAAACACAATTACAATTTTAAACCAATAAACAGCTTCCTATTGTTAGAAGTATCCAGGTATGCTATGAGGATCTTACGGATTTAATAAAGGGTGTTGGTCTGGACAAATCAAATTGAAATATAATTTAGAAGCTGCTGAGGTATCAAAATAGAATTGACCTGCACTTATAATAACAACTCGTTAAATTTGGAAAACAATTAGTGTATGTATTTCGGCAACATATGAGGATGGATCTCGTAAATAGGGATAACCTGTGTTCTTGTGAGTGAATAGGGATGTGACTACGCAGATGAGTCCTGGTTGTGGCTGATCACGAACAACAGTTTGGAAATCATCAATCAAAGAGTCATTCAATACAACTCTGACAATAGGTCCCCTACGCAGTAGCAATAGTTCAGTATATCGAGGTCAAGAATCTGATCTATTACATATAGGGTTCATCGGTAAAAATAGACTACTCACATAAATAGTTTGAGGTACACATTTTTCCGATGGATATGCCACCCATCTTCAGACAACTCGAAGACAGGATCAGTCATATGAATTTCACCAACTAAATCTGACAAAATTGTATGCGATCACATTTTTTGTAACTTTCCGATTCTTGCAATCAGTGAATGAGTATAGACACCTAAGTCCTATGCATACAAATTAGTATGAAATCATATGAACACAAATGAAACAACAAACCTGCCAAATATTCCTCATTTTCATAAGCTGCCTGGAAATGGGAAGGTGTAAGAAACTGGAAGTTGAATGCAGGGATTTCTGGGGTGTCATCCATGATAGTTAGTTCTGTGTTTCGCGTGAAGTGAACTCGATGGTTCGACATGGCAACTTTGAACCTCACAGTTGCGGCTTCCACCTCAAAATTTGAAATTGAATATACCATTCCTTCGCTAATCTTCTGTTGAAAAGTCTGGAGTTCAGTAATCGGTATAACAGCTTCCATTGAAGTTCCCTAAAGCATTGTATATTGTCAGAGTTGTCTTACAATTATCCAGACAATTATCCAAGAAACGGAAAGAAACACTATACCTTGCGGTTGATCAAGAATAAATTGAGCCATAATATGTGGTCTTTGTTTGCCCCTGTAATTGGCCACACACGTAAAACCCGAGCTTCCACTTTCCAAACTCGTTTCTGTTGTGGGAAAACATCGGACAAAGCGTCAAAGACAATATTCATGTTGATTGTAGAGAGGAAAGTGTCTGATTCTTTCGGAGAAGGGGTTTTACAGGGTGAATGGATAGTAGTTAATTTTTATGGTTACAAAATTGATAATTAGAACGTGATGCTTTTTGCTAGTAGTGGGCGGTGTGGCAGTTGAAGAATCAATTTTTTGTAACTGCTAAAGTGGTGATGGATTTCGATATCGAGAAATTGGGGTTCGTACCTGAGTAACGAACTATCAAGATTGCGGCAGCTGAAGTAGTTGACATTAGTCAACTATCTACCGATAGATCAACGCTGTGGAAGATGCCTCTGAACCTGAGCTGAATATGCCGGGATTTCATTCACATCAAATTGAAGCCATCGAAGGAAATCTGTGAGTATGTCGTGGTCAGATGAGTCTAGGAGGTTGAATGATGTTTTGTTAGCAGTATGGAATATTGATTAGAGAAGATAGGTTAGTTAGCCTAATGAGGAAGTGTTTGGGCTGTTGTCATGGGAATCTCGGTGTAATTCAATAGGGCCAACAAATGGGCTTCATAACTTGAAGAAATTAAATGGGCCGAATAACATATTAGTAGTTGTAACTAATTTGGCTGAAATTCATCTTCAGTCATTGACTCTATGTTGCTAGAGGATTTTAGTTTGGAACAGAAGTGTTTAACTTTTTTAATTATGGACATCGCTTACCTAATAATTCCAAAAATGTCCGAGTTCTTTATCTTGGAAATTAATTATTTCTAGGACAGGGATAGTTCTCTATTTTTGTTTCTTCGTTTTCTGTGTAAGAAGAGTCAAGTTTTCCCTTAAAAACAAAGTATCAAAATATTTAATAAGTGTCCATGATTACCTGATTTCACATCAATTTATAAATGAGGGAAAAATTGATTTATGCCTGAATAGTTCAAACAGCTCAATATGAAACAAAGAACCTAGAGAAAAACAACAACGGTTTAGCTGAACAAAGGTAAGCAAATATGTAAATAAAATAAAGACGAATGGAGTAAAATATAAACATAAAAACTGCAGTCGAAAGCATTCAACATAGACCAAACATACCATCTTAAATCCAACATTAAAAAAAAAGTTTAACACATGAAGCACCTGTGTCATTAGTCAGGGACTGACTTTATCCATTAAGGATAGGAAACAGGAAAAGCAAAACATAAAATGAAACGTCTGTGAGAGGATAAATAACAACGGATCAAGATCTCATTCAATAGGTTGCTTTCGTTTGAGAGAAGTGCATGGGGTTTTCTCGCCATCAGTGTCTTTAACTGCAGTACACAGGGGGTCTGAGATTTGAGAAGAACTCCTTGAATTCTCAATGTCACTGTGAATTGACTGGGTGGAGGCAGCCTTCTGCAATGTGGCGGGGAGATCCTGAAAAATAAAAATGAGAGATAGTAGGCATTAGCTATAATTTGGTTACAACCACTGGAAAGTAAACAACATAAGAAATATGTCAATAAATAGAGCATAAGTGTTATAAAGATTAAATATAAACTAATAAGTGGTCTGATAATTCTATCAATACACCATAACCGCAACTAAAGCGTTTAAAAAATGACCAAATACATTATGATTCTAAACTGGGTGTAAACCAAAGTTAGTAGAGTCTATTCTACAGTGACACCAATAAGTAATTCGGCTAACTAAGTCCACAAATGAATATGAGATGAGAAATTAAAAAAAGAGAACTTACATCTATGGAGTCTGGATCAATTTTGACAACAGTGAAGTCTGGTTTGCTCCTTGTATACATGCTGATTTTGATTTTCACATGAAACTTGAGAGTCATTCCTAGAATTTTAAGTATAATCTCCGGTGGAGAATCTTTCAAGCCACCATTTTCAAGGAATAACTGGTTAGCAGGCAGCCCAAAAAAGTTTTCGCCAACATTTTCAAACATGACAAAAGAGGCCGATGTGTCATCACTAACAACTTCAAGTCGCAGACGATACCTACATACGAAAAAGTTTTGAATAATAAGTGAGATCTCAATTTGATTAATAAATGAGAGTAAAAGAACAAAGTGATGTGTTGTTCATGAAAAAGTTGAAATCATACTTTGCAGCCTTGATAGTTGTAGTTTTGTTGCACTTTGTACAATGGTAGGTATCCTGATCTTCTGGAGCTTTATAGACGCATGTAGGGCAGCTGAGGTAACACCACAAAGGATGCAGATCGACAACTTTACCCTCAACAGAATAAACATTGTCCTATAAAAAAACACAATTTAAAAATTGAAATGTGAGAAGTACAATGTGGACATCAAGCACGAATTGGAACGTTATAACCTCATTTTGCATGTCTAAGCTCAAGTTCTGAAGTTCAGCTAGAGTAACTATGGGAACTTCAGGAGTAGAAGGTTCCTCCAGCAAGACAGGTGCAGCATTTTCATTATTCCTAATTTCAAGAGCCAATGAATACACGATTACATCATAATTTGTTTATTAATGTCTATCATTCAAATTAAGAGAGACAACTATACCCATTTAGAAAGGCATTGACTTCAGGGATATCGATATTCGAGAACAAACAGGTTGAGGATGTCGAGGACAAAGAACAATCTCCTACATACATAATACACAAACAACAAAACAATGAATATGCATTTTTTATATTTCATGATTGAGACTGAATATATAAAAACCAAAAGTTTACCCTGGAATGGTGTAACTCGTATGGAAGTAATAACTATTACGAAAGAAGCTGTTCCTGAAGCGTTGACAAAGCTCTCCAAAAGCGGTAGAAGTCTTCCAAACACAACAACAGACACAACATCCCCTCTACAAAAATTGAAATAGAAAGCAACCAGCAAATCTCAAGGAAAAATAGGTTGATAAATATTGTATGAATCTATCTAATTAGATAGGCAATAGAACAAACTCAATCAGTTTCAGGGAGATGTGTCTCCGAGTAGTTTTTCGACCGCCCTTGCATGAAGTTTTACGCTCTGATACATGTTGCACCTGACCAACAACATCTGGAAATCAAGGGATACATTAGTTCAGGTCATACTCTACTTAAACTGACGAAAATACGCAAGGTTGTGCACACTAAAACAGAGAGACTATTCTAGGAACTTCTAGACTTGAATTAAGATAGTATACACTATACCTAACCAATCTGATGATCATTAACACTTCTGATTCGATTGGTAAAGAGTATAATAACAACTTATCAAACTCTAACAAAAACAACTTCTGTAAATAATAGTTGAGTTCCATAAATGGTGAAAAAACCAGAGAAAAAGAGTATGGCAAAGTAGAAAGCACCTGATAGAATATCTATTTTATTAAGGTTCCTTTTGATTTGAGCTGCATTCATGAATGTGAATTTGAAAGTCGGTATGGAGCGAGGGACGTCTGGGATTTGTTGAACAGAGGTTTTCCCAGAAAATATGATGATATTGTCATTAGCAATCGGTCGATATTCCTGTGGTGCGGATTGGACTTTGAAGTTGCTGAAAGTATAAACTTCCTGATCTTTCAGAAGTGGCTGGAAAATCTTCATGAGCAAAGGTGGAATTTGCACCCAGATGTCATTTCCCTGTCAATGAAGAAACGAAGTTAGAGCATTGTAATAGCGAGAAAATCTGAAGCATTGAGGTCCTAGATGAGGTAGTATAGACCTGTGAATCTAGCAAGATCATATCCAAGTGGCAAACGATGTCTGTGTTGATATTTGTAGCAACCCACAGTCGAGAAACACGACATTTGAGCTTGCATGGTCGTTGATTTGGGGAAAGCTCTCCTATGGAAGTGAATTCCATCTTGTGGAGGGGATAGGACAGGTAAGTGGAGTTTACTCCAATGAGTAGAAAGTGCAAAAAACAGAGGTTATAAATGTTAAATTTACGGGTGTTGAAACATACCTGGTAGAATGGAGGTTTTTTGTATGAGATGAATGACGTGGACTGTGTTGAATAACTGCTGTGGAAGACGGTTGTGGATAGAGAAACGAACCACGTCTGCCACTAAGAACGACATTCGTGGGACTCTATCGCGTAACCGCTTCGCAGTACACATTCCAGTAGTAAACCGAAAGAAGAGAACCAATGCCAAAAAAATGGTATTGACGAATCGGACGTAATTCGCCCCTTTCTGCAGTGCCTTTCTAGGCTATATCGAAAACCCTAAATTAATTGAAATCGAGATAATTGAACAGGGAAATTGAAGAAGTTTGAAGTAAGAAATCAAACCTTCTGACAAAAAATAGCTCGATAGGTTCCGCTAGTCTCTGCTGGGAAGAATGAAGTTGCGTTTTCAGAGTTGGACCACCGAAGCAGGTGAATCGATGGTGGTTCAGTGTCAACGACGAATACACGCAGGAAGTAGAGGGGTATGTGGACAATACGACGTCGCCGGGTCGAGACTCTTGATTTAGGCTGGTTTGTTGATTCGTAATTGGAAGTGGGGCTTGTCGGTAAGTGGGCTGGGCCAATTATGTTTGGAAAATGGATCAATGATGGTTTAGTATCATTGACGAAGACTCGCCGGAAGTAGAGACGAATGAGAATATTACGACGTCGGAGATGCCGAGACTCTTTATTGAGTTTTTTTAAAAATATTCGCATTGAGAAGTAGGTTGTCTCGGCAAGTGGACTGGACCATTATCTGCTAAAGACAACAAAATTCCCAACTTCAATTGATAGAATTGGCATAGATTGGTTTATTGTTTTAGTTAGGCCACGATGAGTGAAACTAATTTATTGAATTCCAAATGTAAGACTATATTGAATACACAAAGTATATATAGTGACACCAGAGAAATATGAAATGTGATTGATAATTAAACTCTGATATTCAACTTATAAAGAGTATTATGGGAAATCATCTAGCATAGTTACTCCAAAATCAAGTGAAGAATGAACATGCATAATACCAAAATACCATTGTCGACAAAACTAAAATCAATATTAGTTTTCGTTATCCTGGCATGAGCTGTTGTGGAAGATAAGCGAACAGGTACACCATCCAAAAATATTCCTCCCATTGCTCCTAGAAATTTTAGGTGTCCAATCAATAATCGTTCTTGCTCTCCTGAAAATGTTCCAAACCATGACAAAATAAAACAAAGCATAAAAGTGTTTTAGATAAGGAATATAATGACAAATCTGGTAACAGAAGCAAAACTAAAAAGAAATGACAGTAATGCATGGCCTCATTATGTCGATTTTAAAGAACATATTATGTATAATTGAATTGTGAATCTTGGAATCTATTATGAAACCAATAGAGTGAGATTGGAAACAGGTCATTCTCTTACCAACTCAATTTTGCTGATTCAGATTCCAGAGTCATTCAAAAATCTCCCCATATACAATATTAAGAACAGAAGGTACACCATCTTCTGATAAATGGGAACTGAAGATCTTGATTCCCCCTTTCCTTGTGACTCTTGACAACGCCACATAAAGTTGTCCATGAGAAAAAACTTGTTCATGAAGACACAAACCCATATGATTAAGAGTCTGACCTTGACTTTTATTAATCGTCATAGCAAAACAAAGAGCCACAGGAAACTGCCTTCGTAATAGAGTGAAGTTCAATGACTTGTAATATGTTGCTAATGTCAGTCGAGGCAAGAAGACCCGATTACCAACATGATTTCCTGTAATGATTTCGACTTCAATAAACCACTTCCCCATTGTCTTTACGATCATTCTGGTACCGTTACATAATCCTGTAGTTTGGTCCATATTTCGAAGCAGAATGACAGGGCAACCAACTTTAAGCTTAAGCTCATAGTCTGGAAAATTACCAATACTCAACGTATTTAAGAACTCAACTGTATAATCTGCATCGACAACTTGTTCATTTCCAGGATCCATTTGTATGGAATCCGAGCTGTAATATGTTACTTCCTCCCCAGGGAATGCGGCTAAAACATTAGCATTAATTGAAGATACCATATCATGGCGAGGTGCTAGAATAGCTCGACTAACCAAGTAATGGGATTCTGTATATTGTTGCTGAAGATTGCCATAAGTCGACCGAACGATATCAATAACAGGATCTACTTCTCGGTTAACTAAAAGCTCTTGTGGAATAGGAATAGTAGACTCACCAAACACATTGGACTCCGGTGCATCACCAACATGTAAGAGCCATGTGTTAAAGTCATTGATTTCCTCAGCTTCCTCCGGTGAACAATTAGCTCGAGCTAACCTCATGTTCTGAGTTAATGTAATCACCTTGAAATATCTCCATAAGTACTATCTCTTAATAGATGAGTTGACAATGTCAGAGCGTGACCCCTTAGGAACTATAGGCAAAGTTTGTCTGAAATCCCCACCAAATACCATGGTCAAACCTCCAAATGGCTTTGTCTCACTGTTTTGGAACCGGGGGCGTAAAATATCCCTTAAGGACTTGTCAACTGCTTCAACACAATGTTTGTGTGACATAACAACCTCATCCCAAATTACTAATGAAGCACGCTGAATCAATTATGCTAAATCACTTCCTTGTTGGATGTTACATGTTGATTTTGCATCCAAATCAACAGGGATGCGAAAGCGTGAATGTGCTGTCCGAACACCCTCCATTAACAAAGCTGCAATTCCAGAAGAAGCAACGCACAGAACAACTTTATTCTCATATCGCAGTTTCATGCAAATTACCTGCCACAGAAAAGTCTTCCCAGTACCTCCTGATCCATTAATAAAAAAGGATTTTCCAGCATCACCATACACAGAATCCTTGATCTCATCGATACGCTGGACCGTGCGGGAAGATGCACCAACATCCTGAATCTCTACAGACGAAGGATTATCAACCAATGATGCCTTTGCCCTGTCCTCTGGTTTGTTAATGTATTTGAAGAGATATTTTATTGCCCTACACAAAGTAGATAGTGCGGATTACATATACACTGACACCAAAGACAGTAAAAATGCATAAGTTGACTTTTTGCTTATGAATGGCGTACCATCCAAATTTTAGTTATTTAAATTGATGAAAAAGGTAATCCGCCAGGAGGAATAAAACTTCTTAGCAAAACTTGTGAAAACAATAGGTAGATAAATTGTGTAAATATTTCTTAGTTCAAAACGGCCAACAACATGTAAACAGCCTTAACAAAATGATTTTTATTCTGCCATGTCAAATCACTTCCATTAATTGATTTTGTCTCTATATGCAGATAACTTGGAACTGGAATTGGCAAAACATTACATATATGTTGAATTCCAACAAAATTAACAGTACTAATAAACATTGTATATTTTGTTTGCAACAGGAAAAGTTGACATCTAAAATAACATGCAAAACAGTCTGACAACAGCCAACACCCCAACCAACGATACTGAAGAGGACATTATTAGAACGTAAACCATACCTAGATTTGTTGCAGAATTCAACATTGATGTGAGCTTCGAAACGTAGTAGTAGATATCGATTGTAAGGGACTACAAATCGATTATCGAGAGGAACATTATTAACTTCAACAGTTATGCCACTATCACGACGACGGTATTTTGCAAAACCAGATTCATCGATAATAGTTTGCTCTGAGTACTGTTTGGGAAAATGTTTTCCACAAACACCCTTTTCCATGCAAGGGGAGTTACGTCCTAAAACACCACATGGTCCATGCAACATATACGATTTTACAGCGCGGTAGCCCTCGGGATCAAGATGGGGGTTCGGGATTTCTGCAGAGATAACTGAATCAATTTCCTTTGCACCTTTTAATTTGTCTTCTCCAGATAGGAAAACCAAGATATGAGCATGGGGAAGACCACGCTTCTGGAATTCAATTGCCATTACATCTGCGATTGAAGAAATTATATTAGAGGGCAATATGACGCTGAAAACTGACAGGTAATTAAAAAAAAATAGACAAAGTATGAGTGACTTACGGCCGATTGTGGTGCCAAAGATTTTTTTGTCTCGAATTTCGGTCATTAATTGATGCAACTTGAGTTTGAAAACTCGTGCAATAACATCAGCCCTGTTAACATCCTTCCGGCCTACAATACCGATCAAATCCACCATATACTGTATTTCTGGCCAATTTGCATTGCAGGTAAAAGTAATGAATAAATCGGGATAACCCATTCACCTGCATATCGCCATTGCATCTTGCAAATTCTCGTATTTGTATCGTGGACTTCCTGTATGCGAAGCAGCTAAAATAACATGCTTGCCAGACAAACTTAGATCGATATCACCTCGAAGAAATGAATCTAGCAACCCACTAACATAATGTAGACGTAATTTGTGCTGGTTATTTTGTATCCAATCCAGCCGTTCAGCTTCAATCAATGCATATGCATTCACCACATACTGCTGAAATAATTTTCCCGCCACCAACAAAGAGTTAGATTCGTGCAATCTAGTGTGGAGACGATACCCATAATAATCACATTGAGTCAAATTATTGTCATTCCACAGATTTTCGCCATCATAATTATCGAGACTAATGTTTGGATGCCACCCATCTTCCCCATAAGGAAATAAGATTGGATACTGCAAAGCCATCAAAGATGGATGGTAGTAGCTGACCCTTTCGATTTTAGAACTTTGATACTCAACAACAATGTCTGGTTCGAATGTGTCCTGGCCTGTTTCATCTACAACCAACGCAGCAATATCATTCCCAGTAGGTAAATCATACTCCCAGCCATCCTGTGCACGTTTTGCCAACAATCGTAGCTTCATTGATTGGACATGCCCTTCATTCAATTTGTCCCGGGCTGTTCTAAAAGTCTGAGCCAATATATTGTGCTCATCAAACAGGTCTTGCAATCCTTGGATTATATCAGGA